GTGAAGGCTGGAGGTTCAGGCTCCAGTTCCTCCTTGTCCTCAGAGAGATCTGGGTCACGCTGTGCCTTGTCCCACAGGACAGATCGCTCACTTGCCAAGGACAGGGACCCAGGGAGGCGGACTGGCTGGGAAGGGCCCCGTGGCTGGGCTGATGAAGAACTGGGGACCGTGATCTCGCCCTGAGAGGCAGAGCGAGGCCCCTGGTGCTGCATGCTTGCAGCCACACAAGATGCAATGGCTTGTTCAATGAGGTTCTGAAGACCGACAGGCAGGTCCTCCATATCCAAGCAGTCCCAGCTGGATGCCCCAGGCACCTGACTATGGCTGGAGGTAGGTGCCAGGGTTGGCTTGGATGGATCTCTACCTCCCAGCTGAGTCTCTAGGGATAGAAACCCAGGCTGGTTATCTACCTGGTCAAAATCTTCCATGGAAACGGGAAGGGAATGGGCAACCCCCCCCACACTGCACTCCCCCAAGGAATCTGGTGACCTAGGGGGAGAATCCTGCCTGGAAGGGCCCCCTAGGGGTGACATGGACCTGGAGGAGAAGGGACTGATCCTGCCCTACAGAGCCCTCAACCTCTCTGCCCTGGAGAAAGTTCTCACCAAGGCCCTGTGCCTCCTAGCTTCGTCTCTTTGGCTGGCACNTCAGAGGAGAGGAGCCCAGAGGCGTGGCTTCAGCTTCAACCCAGTCTCGAGGCCAATTGGCTGTGATAATACCATCTCTGGACCATCCTGCAAACCCACTCTGGAAAAGAATACATTTTTCTTCTGGATTTTATTCATTCAGAATGTTGCTTACTGGAGCATAATATGCAGTTATCTTGAGCCTGTGGATTCTTCCTTTAATGCGCACTTACAACACCCTAGATGACAACCATTGATATATTTAGACGTGCAATTTAGCCCTTTCATTCATTATGAAATCCACACTCCCTTTCCTGCAGGCTTCCAAGCACTTTTATGGTGTTTTGTGTTAGGATTTTTTACGGGGAGGGAGGGGGAGAGAGAGAATGAGAATATGATTGCAGTAAATATTTTTAGTTGGGGATGGAGATTTGAGTGCAAGTTGCAGCAATTCCAACAGATTAATTTTCTTGTCAAGCTTCTTAGAAACAGTTAATTGTGTGCCATTAGTGTTTTGCTATGAAGAGTAGCAAAATAAATATTGTAGCCAGTTTTCTTATTTAGAAGAATCCCTCATCCTGATTCATGGTTTGTTTATCCATTATTGGTTGAATAGGCCAAAGGCGAACTACAAAATATATTCATCTGTAGATAGTGATTTACCAACTACAACAATCTCCAGAGTTGGAATGAGTGCACTATTGGGCAAAGATTGTGACAATCTTTGTCTGTTTTCCCTTTGTTATGCAACTATTTGGCTTTCCTAAACTTGACCATTTCTAGGTCTCCTCAGAGTCCACAAACTAACATTTAATATAGAATTTGACATTCCGCTAGGATTTGAAATCTATACACCTGGAAATTGTCATGGTTGTAAAACAACAGTAGACCAGCAAAAAGTTTCTCCAATCTCACACAAAAAAGAAGTGGCAAGCACCTTCCTCTCCGAATCCAACAGGCAATTGCTGGTAAAAGAGCCAAGGGCAGCTTGAGGCTGTCCTCTGCCAAAGAAACATTGTTTATTTCACCCTTTCTCCCTTCATTTGAACTACTGTGCAACATTAAGGGAAGCTCTGCAAAAAAATAAAAACAGTCTACCTCAGTCCTATCTTTATTTGAAAATGGGATCACTTATAGAGGACTGCATATCTGTTTACATGCTTTGGGAATATATAGGTCTAGAATGAAGAATGAAGATTGATGTCTAAATCTCCTTAGTCTTGAACACGGAGATTACAGTTTGTTCTTCTCTGAAGGACCCTTCAAAAGGGAAAATGAATGCTGCATGACAATTCTCTGATTTTGAATGAGAATCCCTAAGTCCAACTGTGGATCAGTAATTTGCAAATTGTAGTGCAAACTTCCTTGTATATAGTGCATTGCTAAATATCTATGGAGATTCTCAATCATCCAGGTCATGGTTGTCCCAATGGTGCTTTTTCAAAAGGCATATGAAGTGTTTTTTTTCCCTGGAAGACATTTTGCTTCTCAGCCAAGATGTTTCTTTACTTCTGAAGAAAACCAAATTAGCAAGAGCAGAGAAATCAATAAAAATACTGTTTGCATGCTTTTATTAATATAATTGATTTTACATAGTAAGCTTTGTCTAGGTCTGTAGAGGTTCCCCTTAGAATATGAAGATATTTCATTTTCTCTGGTTCCAGAATTAAGATATATTAATTTTCCAGATAGGTTTTTTTTTAGAATTCTAAAAGGAAGCAGCAGGTCTTAGCTAATTATATCATAAAGCTTTTTTGCAGAGGGTAAACCACCAAAAGCAGAAATATTTTGCCTGCTCATAAAGTTTGATTAAATAGCTGTTGATTTAGATACAGGTAGTCCTCAACTTACGACCATAATTGAGCCCAAAATTTCTGTTAAGTGAGACATTTGTTAAATGAGTTTTGCCCCATTTTATGANCCAGCCCCCAGGAACACTATGGAAGCCTCCTAAAAGCTATGCCCGACCATTTTGGTGAACAGGGTGGGGTTTCAGGAGGCAAAAAATGCTGTATTCAGTGTATAAGACACACCCAGATTTTCACCCTCTTTTTTGAGGGAAAAAGGTGTATCTTATACTCTGAAAAATACGGTAAGTGAGTTTATTGGGGAAAGGGAAATCGAAGGAAAATAAGAAAACAACACCATTAAGGTATTATGGGACTAAGGAAGCACACTTTTTAACATTTGGCACCGAATATTACAGCCTCTCTGTCAAAGAAGTGAAGAGCTGCAACAAATAATATTAGAAAGCATTCCCCTTCCTTCTTTCCACCCAAACTGTAGCCTTCAATTCTCACTATGCTGAACCATGTCTGGTGCATTTAAGTGAAAGAAGTTGTAGTCCCATTATGGAATATGTAGTCCATAAGACGCTTATTTATTAACAGTGAAAATTGAGTACAAGAAAAGCCTAAAATTGCATGCCACTTTTTTTCTAGTGTATTCTCTTTCAATCCTGATAAGCTGTAAGTCAATGAACTAGACTCCAATAATTCTCAGCTATATGTTTGCTGGATTGATCTGGGACTTGAAACCCATACATCTGGAGGGCACAAAGTTTGGAAAAGGTTGTCCTAAGTATAAGTATTGTACCCCTAATGTATGGAGCTTTATTCACAAGAACCTTGGGCAAAAGTCCCTTGGATAATTTTATTGTATCTGATATCATTGCAAAGGACTGCATACATTTTGCTTTGTTTCTTAAAGTAGAATCCATATTTTCCTTCTCATAAACTACCGTATTTTTCGCATTATAAGATAAACCTAGGAAATTGGGCAGTGACAAAGACAGAAGAGGCAGGTCAGCACTGTAAAAGGACCCCACTATTGTGGCACATATTTTTCGCTCTGTAAGACACAGACATTTCCACTCACTTTTTGTGGGGGGGGGGTGCGTCTTATGGAGTGAAAAATACAGTAAGTTGTAAATCCGAGTCTCTGTTAGAAGAACAGATTTGGAGAAACAAAATTAGTATTTAAAAATAAATCACCTATAGTATCATGTCAGATTAATACTTAAATATTTTTTTAATTGTCCAGAGTGGAACTAATTGTGTATGCTGCTTGCTTAAAAAAATAACTTCCCTTTGCAGATGGTAAAATTAGACTTAATGCATTAATTATTTAATGGTATGGAATTTATACAAATCAGATCTGTTGAGAAGAGGAAAAATGATTTCCTATATAACCAGTATATCACATTTACTTAAGTTTGCACTGCTCATATCTACAATAAAATAAAAAATAAATAAAGCTAAACAGATTATTCTACCGTATATAGTGTGCATACATATGTTGTGCATTCTTATATAAGAGAATTGAAGTAAAAGTAATTTGGTAATAATTTTGCACAGCTTCCATGTTTCATAGTAGGAGAAAGTCTGTGAAGAAATATTGAAATTCATTTTTTTCCACAAAACTGGGGAGTAAGCAGGACCAAAGAGTTTTACCACCACATTATTCTTAGTTTATCTTGCATTTCTGTGGCTAAACTAATTGATATCGCATATATCAAGCCATATCCTTATTATGTTCATAGTGCCTTCCCCAGCACAGTTTCTTATTGTTTCAGGGTGCTTCCAAAGTTAGCATGACAGAAGAGATATGGACCTGTCCTTTCCCAAGTTAGAGAAGGGGCTGGATCAGTTATATTTTTCTTCCAATTAAAGTTTGAGTATCCGTGGGGTAAGTAATTTTACCACCACCCAACATAATGAATTTGGTATTTATCTTTATATAAGAGGTCCTTGCNGTTTTTTTTTAGAATTCTAAAAGGAAGCAGCAGGTCTTAGCTAATTATATCATAAAGCTTTTTTGCAGAGGGTAAACCACCAAAAGCAGAAATATTTTGCCTGCTCATAAAGTTTGATTAAATAGCTGTTGATTTAGATACAGGTAGTCCTCAACTTACGACCATAATTGAGCCCAAAATTTCTGTTAAGTGAGACATTTGTTAAATGAGTTTTGCCCCATTTTATGACCTTTCTTGCCACAGTTAAGCGAATCACTGCACTTGATAAATAAGTAACCTGGTTGTTAACTGAATCTAGCTTATCTGCTTGTCAGAAGGTTGCAAAAGGGGATCACATAACCTTTGGACATGAACCAGTTGCTAAGCATCTGAAGCTTGATCGCATGATCCAAGGGGGCGCTTCAAAGGTCGTAACTGAAAAACGGTTGTAAATCATTTTTTTTCAGCCCCATTGTAACTTTGAAGTCACTAAATGAACTGCTGTAAATCGAGGAAATCTTAAGTGCTATTGCTACAGATATCATTGTAACAAGTGAAAATTCAGTCAGGATTGTCACTGGGGATATTTCTGCTTTTGCTCACTGTTCTCACATTCTTCCTTCTTTACTGTTCATTTATAGGTAGAAGGCGACAGAGAGTACATCGACCACGTTCTCCAATCCTGGAAGAAAAAGACATCCCTTCTCTTGACTTGCCCAAATCCTCAGAGGACTTAATGGTGCCTAATGAGCATATCATGAATGTTATTGCCATCTATGAGGTACTGCGGAACTTTGGCACTGTTTTGCGCTTGTCCCCTTTTCGTTTTGAAGACTTCTGTGCTGCTCTAGTAAGCCAAGAACAGTGTACACTGATGGCTGAGATGCACATAGTGCTTTTAAAAGCAGTTTTACGTGAAGAGGACACTTCCAATACTACCTTTGGACCTGCTGACCTCAAAGATAGCGTTAATTCCACATTATATTTTATAGACGGGATGACTTGGCCAGAGGTTTTGCGGGTATACTGTGAGAGTGACAAGGAGTATCATCATGTTCTTCCTTTTCAAGAGGCAGAGGACTACCCTTATGGACCAGTTAAAAATAAAATTCAAGTTCTGCAATTTTTAGTGGATCAGTTTCTGACAACAAACATTGCACGGGAGGAATTAATGTCAGAAGGGGTGATACAGTATGACGACCATTGTAGAGTTTGTCACAAACTGGGAGACTTGCTTTGCTGTGAAACTTGCTCAGCTGTCTACCACTTAGAGTGTGTGAAACCGCCTCTTGAAGAGGTCCCAGAGGATGAATGGCAGTGTGAAGTTTGTGTAGCGCACAAGGTGCCTGGTGTAACAGACTGTATTGCTGAAATCCAAAAAAACAAACCATACATTCGACATGAACCTATTGGATATGATAGAAACAGGAGGAAATACTGGTTCCTGAACAGGAGGATTGTTGTGTAAGTATATATTCTAGCCATATCAACATTATACACCTTTTTAATAAAAGACATTTGATTGATGTATTTTAATTTAGATTAAACAAAATCTCCATATTTTTGAGGGAGGGGGGGGGGGTTGTGATAATTGTAGCTGAAAAATGCCAGATGCTTATTTTTCAGTTTTAAAACTTGATATCTGAGCTTTAAAAAATTGGTTGCTTTTTCCTTTTTGTGTTAGTGATGCTCTTTTTTTTAATTTAAGATTTTTAAATTCAAGAAAGCAATTTATAGTATTATTTATATCCCGTGTCTCTGAAATGGCTATTTTACTTGATTCTGCAAAGTGGCAGTTTAACGTTTTTCATATTACTTGCAGTTTTTCTATGAAAACCCAACTAACAAATTCATATACTGTATTTTTCAGAGTATAAGACGCACCAAGATTTTGAAGCGGCAAATAAAAAAAAGTTTTTGCACTCTGCAGCTCTCCCCAAAATGGCCCGTTTTTTACAAAAATGGACTAGTTTTTTTATCAAAAAAGGGGATGCATAGCCTTTAGGAGGCTTGGAGAGTGCTCCTGGGGGCTCGGAGGGGGGCAAAAATGAGCAAAAAACGGCCTGTTTTTCACAAAAATGGGCTCATTTTTTGTCAAAAAAAAAAAAGGCAGGCATAGCCTTTAGGAGGCTTATAGAGTGCTCTTGGGGGCGGGGGGGAACTGCCCATTTTTCGCTCATTTCCCCCCCAGCCCCCAGGAGCACTCTGGAAGCCTCCTTAAGGCTATCCACAGCCATTTTTGCAAAGTGGGCGGGGTTTCAGGAGGCCAAAAATGCTATATTCAGATTTTCAGCCTCTTTTTTTGAGGGGAAAAATGTGCGTCTTATGTTCTGAAAAATATGGTAATTTGAAATGCAGCAAGCAGTTACAGGATGATGACAACAACGATGATGATGAACCCTGAGTACAGTTTTAGATTTTGTGGAAGTCTGGTAGAAGCTTGAAATGGGCTTTGAATAACCACAGATACATCTTTCTATTTGACAGCCAGCATGGTATAGTGGTTGAAGTGTTGGATTCAGAACAAGGAGACCTCTCATTCATCCATGGAAACACACTAGATTATTCTGGGCCACCTATTTCCGCTCAGCCCAGTTTACTTCATCGGGCTCTTATGACAAAAAGAAATAGGTTTTGTAATGCATTAGGCATAAGGATGTTCCTGATTAAAAAATAATAAAATATAATTTGCTTCCAAAGGCTCCAAAGAACAGGACATTGCAGAAGAATCAAATGTTGACATTCTAGTCAATCACTGGTCTAATCATATATAATACTATATTATGATTTATTAGACAAAACAAAGTGACCTGGTTTAGATATATTGCAAAGTCATAATAGCTGATTTTATCATTATACTTATCCAAAAACAAACTACATTATATTTTAGTATTGTTTGCCAACCTTCACAGACATCAGATAAGGCACTGATATAAATCCAAAGTACATCATGAGAGGACATGGGGATCTTTGACAGCCTGATATACTTGATTATGATTCTGGTGTCTCTGGGTTCTTAACAGAATTGAAATGATCAACTTCAGTCTTAATGTGTTTAATTTCTTTTACTCAATGCTTAATTTCATAACATATTGTCGATGTTTTAGTTTCTTTGTGGTTTTATTTGTAACTGAAATGGTAGTCAATATTTCTGTTCCCAAGGGAGTGGATTTAAACCAAACTAAGTAATATCAAATATAGTTTTATTTGTGAAGAGAGGAAACCATATATTTTTTAACCTGAAATTTACACTTTCATCACTAATCATATTCGTGTAGAATGCTAAGCCAAATTCATCAAAATAAAAAAACTCTTATTGAATATATTCTTCTTAAACTGAGGTTTTTTTCAACTATTGCCAGTTTTTGCTTTCAGAGGGTTCACTTGTTTGACAGGAAGAAGTTAAGGTTCCTTAGATTATTTGATATTCTTGACAAACCATACCTCTTCCTCTTGTGAAAAATTTTGCTTGGAAAATCTGTTAAAGTATTAGCAGAAAAAACGCCCAGGCTGTTGGATTAATTAAGAGGCAGCCTCCTCATGAAAAACCAGGTTTTTTTCTTCACAAATACTGCAGGTATGTCTGTCTGGTCTTTCCTTATCTTCTGAGGAGAAGAGCTTAGCCAGCCTAGTGGTTTCTTAGTCTAATGCAGTGTTTCTTAAGCTTTTTGCTGTCAGGCCTCTTCTTACTTTTAAAAATTATGCAGGATCCTGAAAGTGGTTGTGTTTGTGGATGCATTTCATATTTATCAATATTTATCACATTAATGATTAACATTGATGTCTTTTTAGAATATTTAATTTATTGAGTCATGTAACAATAATATTGAACCCCTTAGATATTAACAAAAATGAAAAAACTACATTTTTTAACAATCAGAAAATAATGAGAAGTGTGACGCTGTTTTTATATTTTTGCAAATATCTTCAATATCTAGAAAATAATTTTGGTTTGGCCAAGCCCTCATAGAGTTTGGTAGACCCTCATGGGACCTCAGAACATACTTAAGAAACACTGTCCTGGTGGTTCTAGTGTTACCATTTTTGTCTCACTGCTACTTCCTTCCCATATTTAGAAGATTGTACCCAGCACTCCACCAATTTTTGTAGAAATTATTCTCATTGTCAGAAAAATTCTTCTTAGTTCTAGCTGGTTTCTCCCCTTGATTCGTTTCCATCCATTGTTTCTTGCCTTGCCTTTAGGCGCTTTGGAGAATAGGTTGAGCCCCTCAAATACTGGAACATTGCTATCATGTCACCCTTGTTAGAAGATAATTTTATATGTTTTACTAAATGAATATTAAAATGGATGTTTTCAAAATTTTGATTTGGTACAAAATGTAACTCACAAAAATTAAATTGATGTAACTATAAAATAGTTAACATGTACGCATTTCATATGATGGTATCATTCATCGTCAGAACTATAATTTAAAGAGCTGATGCATGGATAAAATAATGTGTGTCTTTATGTGTATCTTCAGTGAAAGCTAATGTGTAAGGTTGATGTGCTGACTTGAAGGTCATACTAGGCTTAAAGGATACAAATGGATGTTTTACACCCTATAAGACTTAAAGTTATTTTCCCTTGAACCTCAAGAAAGTGTGAACTAAAGAAGGTTGATAAGCTCTATGCATCCCCAAGCCACCTTTTTGCAGCACTATTTTAAGGAGATTTTATAAACTCAATCAATCTGATTCAATCCCCTTCTAAACTGTTTAAAATGGTGGCTATCACATCT